AAATACAATCTGTCTTGATATTCACCTGAAATGAAATCATAGTTCCCAAATTGGAGAGTTCTTGCTCCTATTTTTTCTTCCCCTAGGTTAGTGTTAAGGTGCTACCCCATGAAGGTCTTATTTAGAAATTCTCAACTAGAATCTAAACTGATTGCCCCAGTGCTCAGACAAACAAATGCAGTTGCAGGATATTTACCAGTGATAATTTATAAAGTAGGAGAAGGTAATATGACTGTCTCTTGCATCATTGTGATCATTTATTTGTCAGTATGTCAGAGTTCGATGTCAAGTTGTTGGTGAAGGGTGGATATTTTGAAATAGCATCCAACACAGTGTTGTATTTATATCTGTAAATAAATAAGACATCTTTATTAAAGCAGGGATAGCAGGGTATTCATTTGTTAAATGTAGGAAAAAGCTACAAAATATTCTGCCCACACTTCCAGATTTTATGTTCCTATTTTTCTTCTCTTTTTATCAACAGCATGTCCTCCAGTGTATGGTTACCACATTACCATTTTATCTCCAGCAATAAGATTAATTAGAAGCATGTTCAGTTTACTTAGGAGCTATAATCAATGGTGCTGTCAAATGATTATGCTTCCCTAGAAGTAGGATTTGCTTTTCTTGTAGATATGACTCTGATAGTCAGAAAGTCCCATGTAGGAATATAGTGTGCAGGAATATAGTTTTTTTTTTCAGTAACCCAATTATTATTTATTTCTACCCAATAGCAGAAAACAACCTCATCAATTCTGAATATTCTTAGTCCAACCCAACGATACCTCCATTGATCTCAGTTTGACACAATATCCTAGTGAGTGTTAAAGCCTCTTTTCAGACTTTTCCCTCTCCCTGAGACTCCTAGGTTAGTTGCATTACCAAAATGGTCAATTAAGAAGCTGCTATCTGTCTTGGTTTTGTCATTTCATTCCTATCCTGGCCTTTGTTTCCAAACATATCCCCTCCTCACACTCTGTTTCACTGTGCATTCAGTGTATACAGTGCTCCCCAGTAATGACCTGTTTCACTCCAGGTCAGCTGCCTAATGTTTGTGATCTCTTCAAAATGTCCCACTGGGGTGACCTGTGCCATTTCGTCTGCCCAGGGCACCCACATCACAGCTATGGGCCGACTAGGAGGCCTAGCAGAATCCTCTCCGAGCCAGTTCGCTCCTGTGTTCTGATTAGGGGAGCCACAGGAACTCTAAGGTCTTTTCACAGGACACCTAGGAGTTGAGGGAAACTGGGAAGGAGGAAGTATCCAGCTTTTCATGCTTAGATATGTCCTGTTACCATCTCTACTTATTTATCTCCAGAGTCTTTTGCAAGTGGCTCTGAATCTGTAAAACAGTTGCCTCCCAAAGACCTCAGCTAAAATATAAAAACATGAGTTACAATGCCTTGTTATGTAGTCAGATTCTTCAAATTTTGGAGGGAAATCATATTACATCTCCCTTGAGCAGTACTTCTCTCCTGCTTCTCATTATCCTACATTGCTCTTCTATCTTTATACTTCCTTTACTTTCTTCCTGGGTCTGGGTTTTCACCTTTTTTTCTTTTCTGATGGTCAGGTGTTAATGGTATTAGAATTGAAATGAGAACTGGGTCTGTGGGCTTGCATTTCCTTTCAGGCTTTTCTCCTAACTGGATCCCAGACTCTCAAGCTCTGAAGCCAGCAATGTGATGTCTTTGTTCTCTGGTCCCATTTCTGACAACCACCTCATGAGCCAAATGACCACCCTATGGCTTCAGCGCTCACACTAGGGAAGTTGGGGGCCTGGGGGGTGGCCGGACATCTAAAAACACATCAGTTAATATGACATAGCCTGTTACATGACTGCAGTAGTCTTCATCTGAAGTATAACAAACTCCTTTGTAATCATTTACTGCATCTGGGAAAATCACTGCAGGTGTATAGTTTAAAAAAATCACTGAGATCTAGGCTGGTTTTTAATGGTGCGTAAAAGGAATATAAAGAGTTTACTAACTTTTTCTTGAATTTATTTAATAAAGGGATTTTGACATGGGTTATTATAGGAGTACAGTTATAGGAGTACAGGTTGTTATAGGAGTACACAACCAACAGAAAATTTGGTCCGTATACAGGGAGCCATGTAAGTTGTGGACTGATACTGGACCACCTCATTTTCAATCCTAGCTCTATCACTTAATAGTTGCATAACTTCTCATAGTTTCAATGTTCTTACTTGTAAAAAGAATATGAATGTAACCTGTTGGGAAGCATTAAATGAGATATTTCATGTATAACACTTAGCACAGTGCCTAGCATATTCAGCCCTAAGAAAATGTTTGCCAACACCAATTTTAAGATGTTTATTTTTCTTTCTACTGAAAATACCACAGACTAAACAATGAAACTAAGACTGAGTTACTAATATCAAGTAGACAACCATGGGTGACTTCAGGTAGCTGGTTGGGAGATTTCAGGATATGTTATGAACTGATTTCATATAGTCTTGAGTTAAGGAAGTGAGGAGGCAAGAACCCCTGAATAAGAGCAAAGTTATATCGTAGTGGATTTTGCATTCTGGTAAAAAAAAAAATGTTGGAGAAATCCCAAATACATGTAGACCTCCATAAGGATCATGGGTCAAAGATTTCATCCCGTTTAACTCTTGCTTGAAAAATTAAATGTACCTGCTCACTCTTAAAATATCCTAACCTACCCTCATCAATTGTCTAACAAGGAAAATCATAGCCCTGCTTCTCTGTGGCAACTTATTAGTAGTTGAGTCTTTTGTTTGCTGTTCATTTTCTTGAACTTTATTTATGCCTATTTTGAAATTTGCAGGTATGAATACCTGTAATCAAAGCAAAAGGTTGATTGATTTATCATCACTAAGGAGAAGCTGAACCACAAAGTCCACATTAGATATTTAATCTGTTTTGGTCTGTGGATGAATTAATTTTTTTAGGTTTGCATTGGAGTATTGCAAATACTTGGAAATGTTAAAAATTGAAGAGATGAAGTTATAATGAGGAAATGCCTTGTTATTCTGGCTGGAAAATTTAGGACTGTGTTCAAAGTAATGCAATATTTGTCCATAGAAAAAGGCTAACAAGATTTTGAAGGAATCATATGTCTTTGTAAAGTAAACTAGGGATTGCCTTCTAAGAGGAAAAAGGACACTCAAACCACTTGATGATTCTAACACTATTCATGACTTGCAGCACTGACATTCTATAGACTGCTGGAGTCTTCAAGTGTGGAAATACTGAGTCATACAGAAGATGAGATGGTTTAATAATGAAAAAAATATTTATTCAGTCAGCAGATTGTCAGTTAAGGTGGTTTAGATTATTAGAGTCACCCAGCAGAGACTGTCAGGTTGCAAATTATTCTAACCATAAAATCATAAAGCAAGCAGAGTAAATTGGTATACTCCAGATCCTTTTATTTCTTCTTCCTCCCTTCCCCCTTCTTCTCATTGTCCTCCTCCTCCTCTTTTGAAATGGAAAAGGAAAACTGTTGATTCTACCTAAGCATGATACTAGTACACATGAGAAAAAATTTAAGGTGGGACAAATCTTTTTTTCTTCAGGAAGTGTTGCTTTTTCCCAATACACATGTTCTGTAGAATTAGACAGTGACTTGTGCTTCTTGGAGGTGCTTGTCTCCTTTTGTTCTTTCTCCCTTATTCAGTCTTTTGTAGGTTGTTTTAATGTCTGCCATCAACGATTGACTATGGTGTCTGTTTTGTAATGGCACCCATTGTTTTATAAGATTTTCGACAAGTTGGAGGGACAAGAAATAAAGTCACTGCAGCTGTTTTGGTAACAAATAAAATTTAAAACCATACTGGCTCATTTAGCCGTTCAATTTCTGACATGTAGTCCAGACTTAAACAATTCTAGATCAAGTATCAGAAGGACAGCCTGTGGTCCTCCTCTCATAGAGCTGCAGTCCGCTGCATCCCTACCCACTTAGTTAACAGCCTTCCCTTCAGATTTTATATGCGGTTTTAGACAACTGAAGAGCAACCATTATTCTGAGTCTTTACTCTTCCAAACAATTATGCCTCAGGACAAAAATAAAGGAACCTGAACAAAGTGACTTCAACTGGTCGTATGCCAGCGATGCTATGTTTATTGCTCATATTGGAAATTTGTCAATTGACTCTGCAAGAACCAAATCAGAGTCACATTTTCCATTTCCTTTTTGATAAGCTTCTTCCTAATCATTTTAGTTTTGAGTTGGAATTCATACATGTTCAGATATTTTCATTTTGTCACTGGTTTTTAAACATCTTTAAATTTTATTTTCTGTCTATAATGTATGGATTTTTTTATGCCATCTTAAATATTTTCTGGAGAAATATGCAATAAAAATAAGTAAATTTGTAAATAGAATATAGGTTTCTTCTATATATTAGCTAATATATATATATATATATATATATATATATTAGCTGCCAACCAACTATATCTATTTTACTGACAATACTTGATTCAATTTTAACTATGTCTAATTGTTCACCATAATTTATATCAATCCCAGTATGTAATACATTTCAAAACAGCACCAGAATTTATTCACTAATTTAGCCCAAAAGCAGCATTTTTATTGATGAGAAGTATTAAATGAAGTGCTAAATGGCCCAAATATTTTTTACACCATTTTTCCCCAATATTGGCTCCTTTTTGAAATAAGTAATTACAAAATTTCACTTATTGTTTTATTTATTTTATTATTTACTAACATGCCAAGAAAATAAAACCACAGTGAAGAATTTGTACTGTAGAAATAGCACTGCCCTAGTTTAGATTTTTTTCATCTGTGTTGACTGGTTTTTTGAAAATTATGAGCTCAAGCACAGAATTTCCTTAGAGATCAGGTGTCCTTAGGTTATAGCTCACAGTTCCTATATTGTCTTTTTGGTTTCTATAGCCAGTGCATTGTAGATTATGCCCAATTTTGTTTTTTCTGAGCACTACGTATATTAATGCCTTTCGTTTTTCTCACTTCACCTTTTCTAGGTCTACAGCATCAACACAAGAACAAGGAATCACCGTGGTACTGAACCACAGTATTAGTAAGTCCGGATGGAGCATGAATCTACAGGCCCACTGGGAGAAGTTGCTGCCAGGATTCCCCGTTGTACAGTGGGACGAGAGGATGAAGTACCATCCAGCTGACTTGGGTTTGGAGCCTCTTCTTGAGAAAGCATAGTGGGTCCGAGACATTGAAGAAAAGCATTTTTGTTTCTTTTTCCCCTCATCTGAGCCTTGCCAACTGTGCAACTCTCCTTTTTTTGGTCTTGCTTTTTTCAATATGTGGTTTAATTTTTGCTTCATTTTGGGTTTTTTTTTTCTTATTGAACCAGCCACCTTATCAGGAAAAGATGAACCACAAGTGAAAATGCTCATTCTTTCAGGAATACAATTTTGTAGCTCTATGTGTATCTATTTTTGTAGAAATACAGAAAGTTTGATTTAACATTGATGGGCTATTTTTGAGGGATGTATTTTTTTTAATATTGTAAAAATTGTTAAGTTCTGTTTAAAGAACTTGCTCTCAGAGAAGCACTGGCAAAAATGTTTAAAATGCTTGTCTTTAAGATGTCTGTGATATGCTCTGTGCTTTCTAGGTACCTCAAGTGTTTGATAGTTTCTCCTTTTTACAAAAGTAGCACCATAGCCAAGCCAATACAGTATCATTTTACATTAAATCTCAGTGAAGATTTAATTCTATGTTAGCTCACTTAGCTTTGAGTTATGTGTATAGGTTGAAAAACTAGTTTTTTAATGGCTACACTAAAGAGAGGATATTTCATTACTTTGAATTCTTCCAAAGTGTACTTGGAGGATGACTAAGAAGAAAGTTTGCATAAACTTTCAATCAGAGGGAGAGTTTACCTAAAGTATGTAATTCTCTTTCTAGTCCATCCGACTTTGATAAATGCAACCAGAGTTTATATCTATTACTGGAAAAAAGTACATTTAGCCATGCTCCCTTTGAGTGCCAGTGACTTATTTTACTTGTTTCTAATTATTCATTCATAGTAGTTGTTATATTTTAAGTGGGTTTTTGTTTTTTACTGGAGATAGTTTGAAGGGATAATATTTGGGAAGATATTAGACACATCACAAAATCTTTAATTCAATTTCTGGTTCTGAAAATGTTGCCCATCATTGTAAATTGCAAAATAATATATTGTATAGGTAATTTTTAGACATAGGTTTTTGCAAGTTTTTTTTTTTTGTTTAAAAGTTGATTTAGTTGATTTAGTTCTGTATTTAGTCGATTTAATTCATTTTAGGAAACATCTTCAGGGCAAAATGAAATTTCAATTGGGATTTATGCCACAATTACTGAAATTAGCTTAATAAATTGACAATTTATTATTTGAAGTTTATTACTGAACACCCAGGATTCAACTTGACACGGGCCTCAGGATCTAAATAAACTGAGGTTGGAATTACCATTAAGATCCTGTTAGGAAAAGATTAAGATTGTGGAAATAGCAGTTACTAATATTTTAAGGAAGGCAAAGTCCATTCTTTCTTCCAGCTGCTTCTAGAGATGGGTCATGTTAAAATGTCAGTGTTACATAAAAGTTTCAGTTAGGTAAAAAAGTTTCTCAAATTTCTCCCATGCCTGTCCTCACCCATGTGAGATGCAGTGTTTAGTGAAACAGCACGTGTGTGTATCATTTGTATGAACATTTTAGATTTACGAGCAACAAAACTTCTGCTTAGCTAGGCAGAATTATCACAAATAATTTTAAAACATTTCCCTCAGCTCCATTCATGTTCTTTACTGGTGCATTTGGTGAGCTGTAAATCCGTGTACTCTGTACTCTCGTCACTGCAGCCAGTGTCGCCACGTTTATACCTAATGTGAGGTCCAAGCTTAAGGTATCTTCCATTTCCTGAGGATACTAACTTAGATGTCTAGGGAGTGGTTTGGTTAAATCATCTATATTTTGATTTACAATTTGATCTGACATAGTTGTTTGTACTTTGCCCAAATCTGTGGAGCACAGAGTTGAAGGAATCTATAAAATTGGTTTCATCTTTGTCCTCCTGAGTTTTCAAAGGCAAGTATTCAGCAGTTTCACGAGATGACTCACTGGGGATTATTTATTTTCCTCCCCTTCCCTTGAAACCTATTAACTTCCTTTGCAATTTCTCTTAGAACAATGTTGTATTCCAATCATTCAGATCATTCAGTTGTGTTTTCCCAATTTAGAGAAGAAGAGAAGTTATATCCTTCTTCTCCTTTCCTTGTTCTCCCCTGAAATATATTGAAAGAAAGAAAGCAGACAATTAGGTAGCTTCATCCTGAATTTAGTGTGTGCTCTGTGTCACTCCTGGTAACTACAGAATAAAACATTCCTTGTCTGTGGGGCTTCAAGAAAAATTGGAGACCTAAATTCTGCTGTACACAGGAAAGATTCATAAGTGAGATCTCCCATTGAGCACAGGTCCACGTATTGTTGCAATATTGTAAGGGTTAGATCCCGGCATATTCAAGGTTAATCTACATCTAAGTAAAAAGAAAATTGGACATGTCTCTGTAACCTTATTCAAGCTTTATAAGGATTTGTAAGCTAAACCCTAGAAAATCATCTCACTTATTTGACATCTAATCTGTGCTCTGGCCACTCAACTACTATGAGCTAAGGAACTACATAATAGTGACAAGTTAGATCCTAACAGGTCATTTAGTCCCCGTTTCTTGCAAAAGAATCTCTAGACTTTTTAAAAAACAACATTTCTTCTTAAGAAGGTTGACTACTCTCTCCTAACTTGTCTCTCTAATTTTTCTCTTTTCTCTTTCCTCTTACAATTATTTACATTATTATTTTAAGCAAAAATGGCCAGGATTGCTCTAAATTCTGCAAATGAGAACAAATGGATTACAAACAATCAAAGAATTAATTTCCTTAACTTTATAACAAACTTTGGAAAAGGAACAAATTGTAGACACTGGCATAAAACATGCCCTCGAGGAGCTGGTTATTCATTATGCAAATAGTTTTGCAGAATATATCTAGCTTTTCCATTTGGTGTCTGGTTTAATGTTACATTTGTAATTTAAAGTGGCAATCGGAATCTATATTTCAAGAAACTGCATTCTATCCTTTACTGAGTGTCCCTTTGTGACATAGTATTTGGGGAATTAAGTCAATGAGGCAGTGGCATCAAGTTGTGAAAAAGGAAAGTACTTACGTTAGAATTCTGATGGAGTGCTGAATAGCAAAATGAATTAATGGAAAAGAGTACTGGCTTATGCATTAGACATTCTCTGAATTCTGGCTTAGCCATGATTAGATGCATGTTATTTTTGGCTTCATTTACATATCTCATGAGTAAAGTAGGATGTAATACCTGACTGGCAGGCTGTGAAGGTTGGAAGTCATGTATATATATAATCAATCATCTGGCTCATAGTAGATGTTCAATAAATGTCTCTTAGTTGAGTAAGTACATCATAAATTTGAGCTCTGAAATGTCCCTTCTCTTCTTTACTTTCCATATGCAATTCTACAGCAATCAAATAGACATATGACCATGCTTTTTCCGTAACAAATTGTTGCAAGAGTATCTTTGTCTTCTACTGGCTATTAAAGATAAAATGTAAATGTTTTAATTATCTCTGATACTTTAGTGTGCCATTTATGAAGGAAAATAAATTAATCTATTAGTGGTATGTAGGTCCGACTGTGAGTTTTCTTACGTATTCCAGCATTTTATTCATCCAGGACCCTATGTATTATTTTTTCCAAAATTAAGGCAATAGTTTCATTAGATCACTAACATTTATATTTTGCAGTTATAATTTGAGCTTCCTTAGTACCTGGAATAAATCTCCTTTGAAGTTACCTGATTTTTTTTTTTTTACTTGCCTTGGAGGAAAACTTGCAAAATACAGTGGAAAAAAATTATGCACATAAAAAGGGGAGGGAAAAAAAACAGCCCTTTACGATCCCAGTCAGCAGATTTACTTTACTTGAGGAAAAAAGAAACAACTTTATTGGAAGCAGATGTTGACACTGTGTCAGTTACTAAAGATGGAAAGAGTTACTTGAACCATTGCAGTTCCAAAAAGGTATTGATGGCAGTTACAATTCCTGTGATTGATCACCTTCACAGCAGTAGAGGACAGCAGAAAGGCAGAACCTGAATGAGATCAAGACTGAAATCAGCCTGCCAATTTTAATATTTGGGATACTAACGATTCAGTTTTATTTTGTGGTGTTTTGTTGTATTTTATTTTGTTGTCTTTTTCTTTCCTCCAGGATAAAAGACACGTCTTTCAGATAACTTAAGGCTTGTTTGAGAGAGGAATTAAAATGTATTCTCTAAAAACATGATTCAAGAGCCCTTTAAATTTATGTTAAGTTGTTAAAACTATCTTTGAAGTTGTTTTAGGAAAATCAAGTTAAAGTTTTAGTTCAGTAACGTGTGTTAAAGAAAAATATGTATACACAAAAGTGAATGATTGGATATTGGGGTATGGATGGGGCCTGCAAGGAAAAATCAGCCTCAATAGCTTCAAAATGTTCATTAAACTTTGGTAACTTGGTCATGGAGACTGGTCACAGACCAGACTTTTGGTTTCTTCAGTAGGCTTTTTTTTTTTTTAATTTTAGTGTTCTCTGGAAATATTACCCTATACATTTTTCCAAAGTATAGAAATAGTCATTATTATTAAAATATCTTAATTTTCTTGTGTCTTCTGCTGTCCATTGTACTTTAAAAAAAATATTTTTATAGTTTAAAATAATTGATCAAACTCATCTTATCTTGAAATTGCCAGTTAATTTGATCCAGTAAATTTACCTGAATCTCCTTTTACAGTTCCACAAAATTCTAATTGAGTTGAGTGTAATTTACCAATTCCATTATATAAGTAAACAATGCCACCTTCTGTAAAAGAGCAAATCACCATCAAATAACTTCCTTTTTAAAAATTTCTGGACTACTAAAATTGATCTAAGAATAAATCTTTTAGAATACTAGATTTTCAATTTTATTTTTTTTTTGGTGTATGCATAAGATGTGAACTTTCCTAATGTATCTCTTTATACCAATAGAGGTGTACATTTTTTTTTCTATGCTATGGCTAGGGCAAAAATTAAAGATTATTTACACATTTATCTAAATTCTTAGGATATTTACCATCTTGGATATTACATATGATTTAAAAATACTAGTCCATACATTTTTCTGGATCTACAATAGAGGGAAGTGTTTCATGTGAATTCTTTGTATCATTTTAAAGTGCACATATGAAATGGAAAGGAAAAGCATGGGTTCAATTTGTCTTCATCATGAAAATCTAGGTATGGTAAAATACTTTAAAACAAATACATAGTATGGTGAACTTTGTATGTCACATGATTAGGTAAACTGAAAACTAATAATAGAAATATTATCTTATGGCATTGAAATACAATGAAATTCCAGATTTGTTAGTTTCATGAGCAGTTTTGTGCTATCTTAATTTTACATTTCCAGAAAGACAAATGAACTGATTTTAGCTGTGTTGTCCGTAATTCACAAAATACATACATATAATTCATAAAATCATATTTTTTTCTGTTTTTCTTGAGGTCAGGGAAAGAAACATTTTCATATTTCTTTTCATTCCTCAAATGAGGTCTCATAACTATGTGTCAATGATATAAGATGATGGAGGACTTTGTAATAAAAACAGATGTCATCTTCAATTTGCTCAATAAATAATTTAATGTGAATTTAACGTTTATATTTTAATGTAGCATTTTGGTGTGGCCTGCATTTCTTGAATTAACTAAAGTTGCTTCCCTCTTATTCATTTAAGCAATTTCATATCTTTAGAAATTAAAACACCTTAGTTGTTAGCTTTATTTCTAGAGCCAAGAAATTTATATTTTACAGTGAGGAGTGGGTTATACAACAAGTGTATATAATGGAAGAGCTAGTGAAATGGGCTATATTAATTATATAACATCAGGAGGCTTATGAATTTTTTAAATATCTCTAAAATTATAAATTGACTCTTTGGGAGAGGTTGTTTGTTGTTTTGTTTTTACATTTATTGATACGGAATTTGCTATAAGTAGAAGGAAAAGAAAGAAAAAACTTTCCTAACAATCCATTGACATTGAAGTAGTACACCTGGAAAGGATGATTCTAAGACCTTATATTTTTGAAAGAAGTTAGAGTTTCCCTTCATGTGTGCTCTATTTCTTATTAAGTGTATCTTTAATGTGAAAGTGCAAAAGTCTAGAAATTAGTATTTAAAATCACCTCCAGCACTGCAGATGAAATAATTTGGCACAGGTTTCTTAAATGTCCACTATATTTAGACTAGACTAGTGTTATGAGTTTTCTATGGTTGCAGACCACAAACTTAATGGCTTAGGACAACTCAAATTTATTACCTACAGCTCTGTAAGTCAAACATACGGCACTGGTCTCAGTGGGCTAAAATCAAAGTGTGAGCTGCATTCTTTCTGGATGCTTCAAAGAAGAATCTTTTTTCTTGCTAATGGCCCCCTTCCTCCATCTTCAAAGTCCTGGCCAGGTCCTTCACACTTGGTATCACTCTGACCTTCTCTTTGGCTCCCTCTTACATGTTTAAGAACCCTTGCAATTATTACACTGACTTTACCTGGATGATCCAGGATAATCTCCCCATCTCAAGGTCCTTGACTTTACTGTGTATAGAGAACTTAAATGCAAAGTAACATATTCATAGGTTTGGGAATTAGGATGTGAACATTTTTGGATGGCATTGTTATACCTATCACAATTAGTATTATATTTCAGTCAAGTTTTTTTATCAGCCTTGCAACCTGGGAGTATTTAATATGTCACTGGAACTAGCAAGGCTTGTTCCATGTTTGCAGTGGTCATTTGTGTAGTATTCATCTTCATTCACCTAAATAATTGCATATGAAGGACATTCCTGTTGCTATTTCAAACATTTCACGTGGCTGTTACAGTGCCTTGGAATCCAAAGAGCTGTGTGGTATTTATGTCAGACAGGCACTCAGGGGGATGGAGAGCTAGACATCTGGTGCAGATTCTTCCTAGCTGAAGTGTGTTTTCTCTGGGGACAATCTACCATTTACTTGTTTTGCTTCCTTTTTTGGAAACATATGCTCATCCTGTGATGTCCTAAGTCTCTAAGCATTTCATTTGACCTCTTTATACAAATTTGACTAAATATCTATATATGACCACAATGACATGGTAAAGCTTTTATATTTCTGTCCAGACTGAATCATTACATCTGCTATCAGTTAAGCCATGGAAAAACTGTTATGGAAAACAAACATGTTTTGATACATTTAGTGTGTAAAGTCAGTACCTATACTTCAGAACGCTGTTGATCAATGAATGAGTGAGACTCTTTTAGAACACTCAATCACAACTATTTTACTTTCCATACCAAGTTTGGCTGTGGCTGAATGAAGAGCACCAGCATTGATCTTTGCTTTGCACTTGTAAAAGAGACTATTTGCAGGGAGCCAAATATAGCAATGGAGGATTTAAGATCTTGCCAAAAAATACAAAATCTGTTCCCCTTTAAGCACAACACTCTATCCTTTTCTTGTGGATCTTGCTAAAAGGAAAATATAGCTTTAAACTATCCCACTCCTTCTGTTAGAAGTTCCCTAATCTTTTTCAAATGGGCTCTATATGGTTTTGTGAAGTTTTATGTTTCAGAAAGAAACCCATCCAATGTTGTCATTTTTCGCACAACAACAATAACAGCTTCTAAATCAAAGCTGAGAGTCAGCAGCAATTAAAAAAATCACACTTTGGTGACTTCAGGACTAACTAAGGATCATTGGGCAATGTTCTGTGTTTCATTTTGAACTGAACCAAAAATTATAATAAAAATATTGGCTTCAACCAACCAGGTACTTTCTTTGCCTTAGAACAAAGACATGTTGATCTGAATGCCTGTCTGACGGGAGGATGAACTAGTCCAGCTTTTCTATAATGGTAATGACAGCGACTCTTCTGCTTGGCTTATGATATATATATAGAATTTTGAGAACAGTTTTACAAGAATCACCAAGAAAATAAGCTTTCCACAATGACAGCTTTACCAGACATCTCCATGTGGGATTTTAAAACAAACACAAAGCAGTTTGGAAATACTTGGTATATGTAAATATGCAAAACATGCTGAGCAGTACTAACAGCTGTAGGGTGTACTCCCTCCTTGAGCAGAATATTTTGGTGGCAGTGGTGGTCATTTTTTTGATCTTTGCTTTTCATTCCTTCTCCCACCCCTGGTCTCCACCCAGTCACCCATCCACAGTCTCCAAAAGCACCGAACTAGCGCCCTTACTCCCAGCTTCTACACTGCTTCTGAGAGAATCCTTTCAGCAGATTCTCACTGGAAAACGTGGGTGGTGCCTTGGAGGAATGTTGGAGCTACAAGGTGTTGTGAAGGCTGAGCGTGGGGAACTTGCTCGCACTTGCTCTGACACCAGCCCCGCACAGCCCAGACACTCCTCAGGCCAGATTCCACTAAGGCTTGTCATTCATTGCAAGGGAAGGAATGTCCCGTCGAAAGTGGCCTTCTGCCAGTGATGATCCCAAAGACCACAGAATAATCATTTAAGTGTGTGTTATCAGGTTCTGTAACCCCAAGGTGTTCATTCATTTATGAAAATAAGTATGTGCTTTTCTGCCTAGGGCTGAGAAAGGAAGGCAGGACCCAGGAGAAGTTAAAAATGCAAGCCCCTTCTTACAGGATGTGCACAGGTTTGGAGAGGAGAAAGTGGCAAATGTGAAGTGAGAAATCCTGCTTCCTAGGACCAATTCCACTGGTAATTTGTTGATGTCATTTAGGCCCATATTTCCTCAGCTTCCTTATCCTTTAGATGAAGAGCAAATGAAATAAGAAATGTAAACTGATTTGAGAAAACTGAAAGTGCTATATAGATACAAAAAGATATTTGTTAAAAATCCTCTAGGTATCATGAGCATTACAAAAATTCATCTCCAGGAGTTCTCAGATAACAAGATACAGATAGCAATTTGGGAGGCTATTATAAATATTTAAAAAATGGGGCTTGAGTTTTAATGAAGCTCTACTTAGAAGCTGTATGTCTTTGCACAGTTGCCTTAAACTCTGTCAATCTCAGAGTGTTCATATGTAACATAAAGATATTAAAATTAACTACTTCATAGAGCTGTTACAGGGATTAAACAAAGCATTAAATCATTTGCGACTAAGTAAATATTGTTGTTTTTCTTTTTATTAATCTTGTCTTTTAGTAATTTAGGGAATTGAAGAACTCAGGTCAGCCCTTGCCCAAGGGCACCTGACTACAAGTGACAGAGCCAAGGTCCAAACCAAGATTTAATAACAATGCAACAACAGAAAAGAAACACAGAACACCACACTGCTCCCCCCAGTTTTTCCTTTTATCACATCTGAATGTATTTGCTGTGAGCATATTTTAATAATTTCTTAGCCAACTGGAATAATCCCACTTTCTTCTTTTTCCAAATCCCCTGAATATAGAGCAGTAGAAATCTGCGTGCTCCTGGGGCTCCAGAACTTGCTGTTTCTGAGTGTGTGTAACATAGCTTTTCCTTCTCCTTTTCTTCTTTCTACAGGTTCAGCTATGTATGCTAACAATACTGATACAAGTAAAACAAATAGTGATTTCAATCCCTAGGACCTGTGATCTTGGGGTCATGTGGATGTTAAATCCTTTTCCCTTGACAACTGACAGTGAATATAGTGTCTGAACTGACTCTTTGAAATAGGCCAAACTACCCTTCTTTAAGGCAGTGCGCATTCATGAGGACAAGTCTTAGAAAGGCCAGCTTTTTCATAGAAATATTAGACAAAACCACTACTCCTTGCTCTCTGCTATGCATCTGCACCTATGCAGCTTCTGAACTTGTCCATGTTTCCTGACCCCACAAAGATCGCCTTACATTTGTCAACAAATCAACCTCTCTGATGTTGATCTTTTTATTGCACTTTCCAGGAGAGGTTTTTACTTGCTTTGCTTTTTTTTTTTTTTGGTTGCTGCCCCAGCTCTGCTGAGTTCTGGCTCCTGGAGTGATCCAGAATCAGATTGCCCTGAAAGCTGAGAGGATTAACTTCAGAAAGTTAATTACCCAGGGGCTGATCTAGGATTTGTGGGGCATGAAACTTATAAAAGTTGCGGGGAGAGGTTCTTCTTAAGAAAAGAAATAAAAAATGAATACTAAGTTATGTATAGAAGTGAGTATATATTTAGAGTGAGAAGTCACAACTAACAAGTGTTGAAACACTGATTAATATCATAAACAAAATTCAGAAAAACCAGGTAAATTTGTATTAACTACCTGCTTAAGGCAATGTATGTTATAACATACTACCCTTCCAACAATTAGTTGATACTATTTTCAGCATGTTTCAAACATGTTTCTTTTCCACTACCTTTTTGTTTGGTGGTAGAACATTCATAGGACACATTCAGAGAGTAATAAACTCTCAGGCCCTCATGAAACAGTGTAGTTAGGGGTTGAAGTATTCTAGATGCCATTCAAACACTAGGACATGATTACTTAATTATACATGCATGTAAGTCTGGGGAGAGGAAATCCTGGAGCAAAATACCTCTAAAACCAAAATCATTCAAAGGGAGAAATAAAATTTAAAACCCATTTATTGCTTATAAACTGCAGTTCAGGGTCACTTCTCTACTGCTCCAGAAGAAGCCAACCAGCTCTCCCCTTAACCTCTCAGGTTCA